ATACTTAAGAAATAATTGTTCCTATCAACAGGATGATTGGGCATCGCTACTACCTTTAGTGGAATATGCATACAATACATCTACCTCCGAGTCAACCAAGCTATCTCCGTTTGAGATCAACTATGGTTTTAACCCAGGGACCAACTGGTCAGGTACAGTCTCGGAGCAACAAGGTGTACATCCCAGTAACGAGCTATTGGTAAAGAATTGGGAAGGTGTCTGGCAAGAAGTCCGAGATACACTAAAGCGAGCTCAAGAGAGACAACGGAAGTGGCATGACCAGAAACGATTGCCATTGCTGGAATACGTTGCGATGGAAGATGTGACAAATGGCAGGGCAAAGAAGGCTGACCGTGTGATGCTAAATCAGAAGAACATCCGCACTAAGCGACCTATGGAGAAGCTGGACCACTGAATGTTTGGGCCCTTTGTGGTCAAGTGTAAGGTCGGTGACTGGGCTTATGAACTCCTGTTGCCTGCTCGTTGGTCAATCCATCCAGTATTCAATGTAGGACTCTTAGAACCGTATCGTAAACACACAAGTGGAAAAAGGACTAAGGAAGTCCCAGTCCCCGAGATAGTAGACAATGAGCCCAGCTATTTTGTCGAGGCAGTGATAGACAGTCGATGGTACTGAAACATGAAAGCAAAATTTCCAAATCGCTTCTTACAGTACCTACTTTCATGGGAAGGCTGTGGTGCAGAGGAGAACTTGTAGGAGCCATATGAGATGCTAGAAGGCACTGGGTTAAAAGCCATAACGGATTTCCACCATCGGTATCCCCATAAACCCAGAGACCATAGGGGTGTAGGTGAACTGAATCGGGGAAATCAAAGACGACGTTAGCAGACCGGGTCGGTCCTTACAGAAGAGGGGAGTGATGTAACGACCCTACAGTATAGAGCTATGGTAACCTACGTCTATGCTCATACATGAGACCAAGAAGTTAGATGGTAGACGAGGCGGGTATGTAGGCGCATATCCGACAGATATCTGATGGTCAAGATATCTCTAAGAACCGAAGGTACTTAAGGAAATGGTGTACCTCAGTAGTGGTAGTAACGTGACAATGTCCGCTCTGGCCTAAGGATAGGAGAGAAGGCCAGGTGAGTTTACCCGGTCTAAGGAAGTCACGTTACCCTACCATGGAGACCGGTTTCGTGTCACCATAGACATACTTACCCTCCCTTTGGGACACTATTACCCTACCTTCCCTCAGAAACATTCTCGGAAGAATTTCGGGAAATGTTAGGATTGTTTATTATGCAATGACGATCGACGGACACTTGTTTGCACTTTGATCAGAAGGCTACGGGAGGAGCTATAGTGCTCCGAACAAGCTATAACCTAGTAGAATTATTCCTAACAGGTACCTGCGGCCCCAGGGTTCGTCCCGGGTGTCATGGGCCAAAATGGGTAGAGTTGCCGTCTTACTAGTTACATGGAGTTCATGAAGACATGTCCATAACACTGTATACGTCGCTGCCGTCGATCCGACCAGAAGCTGTTCACAGGATATACACGGGGGTGAAGGTGAGAATGTCAAGTACGTTCTCCAAAAGGGACAGAGTAAAATGGACCAAAACTGACGGAGTTAGCATGAGCTATCCAGAAGGGTCCCCAGAGTAGTTCCAGGTAGTACCGGAGACATCTGACAAGGTTTTATACCAATCAAGCCTACACGTGCCCCTTTGCCGTAGGCTCTTTGTGGGTTGTTTGAAGACTCTAATAGCATGATACTTATCACGCTGAGTGGTGGGCCGGGGGTAAGGGACCATGGGTAGCGCCCACGGGTCCCGCCACTGACACAGCTCGATGTGGGAGCGCCGTAGACCCTCTAAGTTCGTATTCAAGAAAGATAGTGCTTAGCCAGAAGACAGCTGATATCTACGGGAGCTTACATAGGTCATAGCACATGGGGAGAGAGTCATTTAGTTAGCTTTCCTAGGCGTCTCCACTGTTAGCCACTGACGAGACACCGATATGCAGAGGTTTTTACTCTACCAGGTGTATTGGTAAACACCTCACGGGAACTCATGTGCATATAGGAGAATTCTGCTCGAGTGTGGTGACACCTTAGCCCTTCGGGGACACAGTAATGGTGCTGGGGCAACCCTTACGGAGAAGGGCATACTCATGATGGTCGGGATAACCTGATAGGGGAGTTTTTGGTATAAGTCTGACTACTTACTAAAGATTATACGAGAACTCTCCTACCCCGACAGAATCAACATCCTCTCGAGAGACTTTAATTGAGATAAGCCGGACCTTAACGATATTAAGTTTTACCGTTTACTTTTATTCTTTATACTTTTACATAAGCTGTGTTCCAGAGATTCGAAGTTTGGTGCGGTCGCATCCTTAGGAACCATGTACCTGAGGGAGCCCCCGTTACAACTACCCAGCACTACTCTGGGGAGCCTTCCAGATACCTCACGCTAACTCCGTCAGTTTTGGTCTGTTTTACTCCCTTTCTTTTGGAGAAGGTACTTGATCTTCTCACCTTGGCACCCTTATATATGCTGTGAACAGCTTCCAGTCGGCTGGACGGCAGCGACGTATACAGTGTTGTGGACATATCTTCATTGACTTCAGTTAACTAGTAAGACGGCAACTCTACCCATTTTGGCCCATGATGCCCGGGGCAAACCCTGGGGCCGCAGGTACTTCAGGAATAATTTTACCAAGTTACAACATGTTCGGAGCACTATAGCTCCTCCTGTAGTCTTCCAATCAGTGTGCAAGCAAGTGCTTGTCGATTCTCATTGCGTAACAAACAATCTTAACATTTTCCTCAATTCCTGTGAGAACATTTCGGATGGAAGATAGAGTAATAGTGTCCCAAGGGTCAGGTAAGTATGTCCATGGTGACACGAAACTAGTCTCCATGGTAGGGTAATGTGACTCCCCTGGACAGAGTAAACTTACCTGGTCTTCCGACCTATCCTTCGGCCAGAATGGATATGGTCATGTTACTTCCACTACTTAGGTACACCTATTCATGAAGTACCTTCTGTTCTTCAGGATACCCAGACCATCACATATCTCTCAGACATGTGCCAGCAAGTCCTCCTAGTCTACTATCTGACCTCTTGGTCTTATCTATGGGCATAGACTTAGGTTACCATAGCTCTCTCATGGAGGGTCGTTACAGAACTACTGAGGACATATTGGGACCACTGGGGACTGGTAAGGGCTTTGATAGGTGGTAGGAGAACTTCAGGAGATGGTAGGTGACTCTGCCCTAAGGTGATAGGTAGCATACTATAGACTTAGGTAATTGCTGAAAATATTTTTTTCAATCTTGGCTAATAACTTTTAACTTTCTTTTATATTAAATCCTAAACCATTCTGCTCTTCTTCTTGCTTAAATACATACATATTAGGGGAGGGGCACAATTGAAATATAATGACGTTTCTGCACCATGCAAGCAAATATGAATGTTTGTTAATAATACTCTAACCCTATATTGTCCTCTGATTGCTGTGCCAAAGATCTATTGTCCTTTTTCATAGTCCAAGTATGCCCAAAGTCTAGTAATATCTGCAAACCCCTACTCCACACATTCTCAACAGGAAGACTTCTGCTTATTAAATTCTTTTTCTGCAATACTGAGTTCTAACTATAAAACAGGAGAGCATAAAACCTGACTTGAAGGATAAGCTGGATCCCTATAAAGACTAAATAATGCTGCATATTGCTTCAATCTTTCAAGTAGTCCACTTTAATGCAGTAACATATTATCATTTCACCAGCCTTCAACTGGACCATAAAGATGATATATGAGACCATCTGGACACTTAACTGCTAAGTATTTAACTGCATGGTACTTGTGATGCCCATTGTAGGCTATATGTTGCCATAATACTGGCCAACATATTCCTCTAATTGTACAATCAATAAATCCCCACCAGTTCTTTAATGCTTTACCTTTTTCAAATATAACTTTTGCAAACAACTTCAACTTCTCCTCATCTAATAACCTGATTCAAAATCACAAAGTAAAAACCCCTACTCATCATCAATAAATTTTACTATCTAATTAAAGTATTCAGAAAGCTGTAAAACACTCCAACCAAGCAATAATGAAAGAGTTTGCAGACGTGAGTGATGGCCATGTCAACCTACAACATAAAAGAAAAAAAACCTCATGAGATGAAAAAGAGTACCTAGATGGTTTTTGGATTTTCTGAGGAAGATCTAGTAATCTAGTTATCTTCCAAATATCACCAGACATAAAATGTGTGAGGTGAATAAACTCATCATCGCTTAGAGTTGATAAGTCAATCCGACTCCTCATTGAGGATCCAGGAGCAATTTTGAAGTTTTCAATAATAAAAAGAAAGATCTCTTCATCAGAAGCCTGCTCAAGAGAAGTGATTATCTCTTGGGTAAAGGGTTTGTAGATGCTTGACATTCTTTCCTGCTGAATGCATTTCACAGCGTGGTTGACACTCTATTATATATTATGATGGGTATGGTGGCGTTGTACACCCATTTTGGTTTAGTCTTCTACTAGCTCCTTGCACAGAACTCAAAATTTGAGCTCGAATTTTCACTTCCGAGGAGTGGCCAAAATGCCAAAATCTTTTACATCGGCCTCTCCACAACTCCGCTCAACCAATATCAGGCTATCACTTTAGAGTGCCCCCAGTCCATTCAGAGGAGAAACTCTCTGTGATCTTGCTGTCTATGGGAAGTCATATCTTCTATCCAGCTCTCTGTTCCAAAAGACCTCGCTCCCGATAGACTTACTAGACGTCCTCCATTATTAAGGTAGAACTTAAATAAATTTGGAGTACACAGTGTGCTGATGTACCAATCAAATTCCTTCCCATTGTTCCACAAATTCTGTACTACCGCCAAGACGGGCCCGAGCCTCTCTCCGAATATCATCCCCATTTTCACTTTCAGCCTATCACAGCCTGCATGCTGCGTAACCCTGTATTAACATCTGATTGTCCCATTTTTTCCTTCCAGCCTGCTCACTCTTTCTTTGCGCCTGGTGTGAGCCGCCACCTTTGCTAAATTTTCCTCTCGCAAAGGCAACTACCAGGTGTGGTTGGGCTTCCACTCATCATACATTTTTCGCACGCATCGGATAACCCCTCACTGCCACAGGTACTTTAAAGCAGAAAAATTACCCCAAACTCCACTTGGGCCTCCAAGGCATCCATACCCTTTGTTCAGGTGGAGCAAAGAAACCACTTACCAAAATGCCTGGGCCAACACCGACTCCGTTCGAGATCCATGTTCCGGATTCGCTTCTGGGCTTTATCCATGACAGAGTGCGTACCGCCCGTCTCCCCCCGCCAGTCGCGCACCCGGACGGTAAGGCGGCAATGTACGGTGTCACCCACGAAGCTATGACCGCGCTGCAGGACCACTGGAATAACAGGTACAATTGGCGGGCAGTTGAAGACCGGCTTAATAGCTCGCTAAAACAGTTCAGCGTTCCGATACTGCACGAGGGTGAGGATCTCAATATTCATTTCGTCCACCATAGGTCCCCGCAACCGGATGCTATCCCCCTCATATTCGTCCATGGATGGCCCGGCTCTTTCTTGGAAGTTGAAAAGATTATAACCCTTCTCACGCATCCTCCCTCCGAGAAAGCGCAGGCTTTTCACGTTGTCGCTCCATCTCTACCCGGGATTGGATTCTCGAGTGCTCCAAAGTCCAAGAACTTCGGACCCGAGAAAATTGCCGGGGTTTTTCACAAGCTGATGATGATACTTGGGTATGATCACTACGTTTCCCAAGGTGGGGATTGGGGATCCATGATTTGTCGCTGCCTCGCAGTGGATCATCCGAAAGCATGTCTCGGTGTCCATTTAAACTTTATTCTCGCTCTTCCCCCTTCAGCCTTGAAGAATCCTCTCGAATTATTTTATCTTGCAACCCGGTGGATGACGGCCCATCAGAAAAAGATGATTGAGCGGATGATTTGGTGGAGGCAAGAGGAGAGCGGGTATGCGGACATGATGAGTACAAAGCCAATGACTATCGCTTTTGCGCTGGTGGATTCGCCGCTTGGGTTCGCCGCTTGGATCAGGGAAAAGATCGACTCCTTGGTGGATGGTTATGAGTGGACGGAGGATGAGATCATATCTTTCTGCATGGTTGGCTCCTACTGCTCTTCTCGATAGGCTTTCCTTACATTGATATTTAGATGTACATCCTACCTGGAAACAGCGCATTCGCCAATCTCTACAAGGAGGGTTTCGTTGAACTCAAGGCGAATATTCTCAAGAGGGTAATACCTTCGGAGGTGTGCTTCGGGGCTTCGTGCTTCCCCAAAGGCCTGTGTTTCCCCTATTCCCCCACTTCATACTCCGCCCTCCGCTAACGACATACAGATGTGGGATATTGCACACCCGGGTGGGCCAAATGTCGTGTGGCAGAGAACATCGTATTCTGGCGTGAACATTCAAAAGGCGGGCACTTTGCGTCCCTCGAGACCCCGGATGCCTTGGTGGAGGACATTAGAGATTTCTCGGACAAAATCGGCAGCGAGAGCTGGAAAAAATTGATTCATGCAGGTTCGGAGAAGCACTAAGACAGCCATTTTTTTTGTCTTTTGTAATAACGAAACAAAATTTGGGAGTATCTTCTGATGAAATGGTTTGCTCCGGGCGTTCTGCTAGGTAGAGAGCGTGCCGGCGTCATCTGGGCTTGGCCGATCAAACCCACAGGTGCTGGGGGTGTTGAGATACTCGAGTACTTTCCCGTAGCAGAACACGATCGCTACCCGGAAATTGGCGTAAATGCATTACCGGGGTTGGTAGGGTACGGTCCCTCCCCCGCCTACTTGTAGTGCACTCAAGTGTGCCGGACTAAAGGTTCTCCCTTATTGGTGGTGACGCACTAAAACAAAAAAGGCGACTTCGATCCGGCGTTATAAGCATATTACAGTACCGTACCAGTACCTCTTCCATATCGGCAAATCCAACCGTATGATTCAGGAACCACAGACCAGCCCCCTACTTAAACCACTCATAAGAGAAAGAAGCAGGCCGCGATAAGTTTCAGAATCATCCCCGGGTCAGTATTCCGGGTATCTACGCTAGTAGATCTACATTATCAAACATTATCAAGTGACACGGCGTCTGAAGGTGTTGGGATTCTCCCTAGCCGTGTTTACCCGCGAGTCGCACCAAATTCAGGGTGATGTCCCCATGACGCATAAAGTACCCTCCATTTTCCCATCAGTTTTTCCGCTGCCAGCGCCGGACCCCTTCGGACGGCGTATCCTCTTTTCAACTTCCGCCGGCCGCCCCGGCCCGCAGGGCCTATCCCTTACCTTGTTTTCAAATTATCGTCTTGGTGGGTAGCCAAGGCCATGGGAGCGACGGTAAAAGGGTAGCATTGCTTGTTATTGATTAGAGTATTCTTGAAACATGTGACTCTCGGGTCTAGATCGCAATTCAAATTACTAACCCGCCCTAGAAATCAGGATGGAAAAAACTGCAGTAGGCCACTGAAGTTGTAGTGCTGAGCATACCTCACATTATGCACTACCGTACCCATCATGACTGTGACAGAAACAACTAAAAGTAGGGCTGTAGTAGTAGGTGTAGGCATGATTACCTGAACAGACTAGTGTTATGGACTGTGGACTTAGCCCAAAAAGAATAGATCAATCAGGAATGGTTCACCGTGGTGGATGGTGGCTAAATCGGCACTAATTGGTTAGTCCCCGTGCTAAAACAATGTGAAATTCGGGAACAAGGGAGGCGATGGTGCAGCAGAATGGGTGTTGATGAGCAAAAATTGGCCTACCCTCATAAAACAACAAATTTACTTTGATGATTATGATACTTCCGGTACCTGTGTAGTCCGTTCCCGTGGCCTTAAAAAGACACTTTGCAAATAATTTGTGTATTTACTCCCAAATGCTACATTTCAGGGGGTGAGGTTGGTTGCTATGCAAACGATTGAGGGTCCGCCTAGCTACAGACGGCCGCCTAGAAGCTAGAGATGGAGACAACCGTTAAGAAGGACTTGATGGCCTGAGGTGTGAGAGGGAAACAGATGCTATAATGTTTATCTCTTAATGATGCAATGACTTTCAACTCTCTGACTCAACAATCCTCCTCTGCTACCCTCAGGCCTCTCTCTCCTTATTCGCCTGCCATGCTACCACGTAAGTCAAAGACTATTCTACTACCTTAAAACCTCCAAGTTCTACAAGTCAGTCTAGACTAGCTACTACTACAATCTCTTCCTACTCTCTAAATTCATCATGAAGCTATCTAAAGAAAGAAGGTTAAAGAAGCATAAAAGTCAAACATCCAAGTAGGTAGAGACAAATCAATAACATTAAAAATCAGAAGAAGGTACAAGAGATAAAGAATCAGAAGCTTGATGCTAGTATTAAGAGTATGTAAAGTAAGATTATTATTAGGTCGTAGCCAATTCTAGGTCAAGGTAAATTGTAACTAGCGCCAGTAAGGTTTCTCAGAGAATAGTCAAGAAAGATTATAACAAAAGTAGGTATCAAAGTATAATGAATACATTGATAAGATCTCTTCTCCGTTCGCTGAGAGTTCGGAAAGCTAAGGATTTTTTTTGTTTTGTTTTGTTTGACATATCTAAATTTTTGTTTATGGAACAAAAAGGCATATGAAGCACTAGCTATGATGCCTAAAAAACCATCCCCTCCTCAGACCAGGCTGAACAACAGAGCTAAAAGAACCCTCTGGAGTAGAAATAACTACTGCTGCCTGAAATCGTTCCTGTAAACTGCTCCATCCAATAACCCCCATTGTCATGTGACAAAAGAAAGCTAACTACCGGACAGTGAACTAAGAACTCACCAAAACCTTAAGAACGATACACCTAAAGACAGAAACCCAAACCAAACCCACCAAGGACCAGAGTTGTACTACTCATAAGCCAGATAAACTGGAACCATGAGGCCAAGATGAGGGCCAGGGGGAGGGGGCTGAAGCCCCGGCAACAAAGGGTATAAGGGAACCTACCTTAAAGGCAGCAACTAAGAAGTGAGGAGAGGAGGTATATGGCAGGTGTGCCGGCAACCGTGTGCCCTCTGGGACAAACACAGGAGAGGATGTGACGGTAGGGTGCCAGCCAATCCAACTATAGAGAGGTAGAGAGCAAGAGTAGACACAATTCCATAAACAACAACTATGGGTAATCACTTTTGTGTCTAACTAGGCAGTCTCTCAGGAGAGCAGGAGAGTGGAGAGATCAACATTAGCCTGTAAGCTGTTCTCTCCTACTACAAACTGTAGTTCCAGCCATCTGTTCAATGTGGAAAAGGGGGTTGCCGACTGTGCCAACACCTAAGCAAGGTGGGAAAGGAAGGGGAGAAATATCACAAGAATGAAGGTGTTACACATATCAATGTACAGACCTCCCCCACACACAGACCTCCTGAAAACTCCGAAAATTCCATGGCCAACATACCCCTCCAGCCCTGCCATTGGGCCTGCACAAAGTAATAGTGTCACCAGAATTTGGAGTCCCAACAGTATAAATCAGTAAAAGCAAAGCATACATTATAACACTTTATCCGGCGTCACTGTCCATCCAACTGGAGGCTATTTACAGGATATATGAAAAGGGACCTCAAGCCATATTTAAAAAGTGGAATAGAGTCAATCAGACAGGTAACTATGGAGTTACGAGCTAGGCAAGATTGACCATCTCAAACATGGGCTGAAGGTGTTGGGACAGAATCATCAACTGTCCAATGAGTTATTGGGAGGTGCCCATACAGATGAGGCACAGGGCGCAGTCTAGTACTCGTATAGTATAGTGCCAACCAGAGGCCTATCTATGGTTGAGGGACTTTTCCATGATGTTGACTAGTCCGATCATGGCAGAAAGTCCTTGAAGTTAATGCAGTCAAGTTGCGAAGTCAACGATGTATTGATGAGTCTCGCAACGGAGCTGATCTCTCCAGTCAGAGTTAGGAGGATGGTGAGTCAGCTTGAGGTGAGACTAGTCATTTACATTTAAAGCTCCAAGATGAAGGAATCATTTATTTTTACCATAGAGGTTTAGAACACCCTTGTAGAAACATGATAACATATAAAGACCATAGTCCAAACGAGATGCAAAGTTAGTCAAGGTCAAATGGATCCCTGTTAGGATAGTAAGGGGGTGGAGATGAAGAAGGTACATTGTTTGGTATTAGATAGATGTAGCCCACAACCACCCAGATGCGGAATATAAATGTAGAGGTGCCACCTTTGCATTCAGAATTATCGGTGAATAGAGAAGAGATATTATTAATATATTCATTCATTATACTTTGATACCTACTTTTGTTATGAGCTTTCTTGACCACTCTCCGAGAAACCTTATTAGCCCCAATTACAATTTCTTTGACTTAGAATTGGCTGCCACCTAACAGAAAGACCTCAACCAAGGAGAGAACCAAAGAAGCCGATAAATAAATAAAGGCCTCAAGGCAGAGGGGGAGCAAGCCCACCTTTTGTAGCGGAGGCTAGATGGAGGAAGACAGGGAGGGAGGAGTGGTGCTAGACTATGAAGGCTACAATAGTAACTCTGGTGTTAAGTTTTCAATTGCCAGAGATGTAGTAGAGATAGAGGATGTCTGAAAACTAAGGATTGTATTTTATTTTTTTGTCATTTTGTTAATCTTATTGATTATTTGTTTAGGGTACAAAAAACATATGGAGCACTAACTATGACAACAAAAAACTCATATCCCTCCTCTCACTGCAGGAAAAAGCCAACCGCCCAAGCCCCTCTTGTATGGAGTCAACGACACATCTCGCATCCAACAAAAGGAACCCAAGCTCTGCTAGGAGGCTGAACAAGGAAATCCTGACTAAGAAGAAAGTAGGGAGAGCCAGAAAAACCCCCTGAGAAATCCCAAAAGAATAAAAGAAAAGTTAGTAGCAAGCCAGGTAGGGCCTCAAGGGGCAGGTCCACTTAGTCCAAGCGCGAAGTAACGCCCAAGGCATGCTAAGATAGGGGTCCCCCCCCAAACCCACTCCAAGGAGACAGTGCAATACCATGAAGGGAAGAAGGAGACCAGCCGGCTGTGGGCGATAAGGAGGGCAAAGAGGGAAGGGGGCAGTAGGGTGCCAGCTGACCTGACTATAGGAAGAGGAAAGCAGAGGGCTAGACCCAACAACCTTAAACACCGTCTATCAGTAAACGTATTCGTCTATGACTAGGCAGCCTCTTAGGCAAATAAGAGAATGGGGAGATTGCCTGTAGCCTGATGGCTGTTCTTCACTACTATAAACTGTAGTCCTGGCTGTCTGATGATAGCAGTTAAGGGGTTGCTGACTGTGCAAAGGCTAAGCGAGGCCAACTCAGGAGGAGAGGACTCTTTACCATGAGTGGAGGGGGGAGAAAGAAGGAGTAAGAAACTCCATCAGCTCCCTAAGCGAAGCAGGTGTTTTACCGCAGCTCTTATATAGTCTCTTGTTTTGGGAAAGATAGTGTCACTGTAGTGGAAGGGATTCCACCACCTGCCAGCTAAGGCAAGCCTCTGAAAGATGAACCCCTAAGGAGAGAGATTGTCCTGCGATGGTAGACCGAAATCAATACCCTGGACGTAAGAGGAGAGGAGAACCAGACTCCCCTAGGCCAAAGCCAAAGGCAGGAGTAGG